ATGTTTTCCCGCTCCAGTTCTGAGAGCATGTTGTTCCGCTCGATATAGAGTCTTTGATTCGCAAGTCGTTGCTCGTTGATATTCAGCTCTGAGTAAGATTGATTCCAGAGCTCGAGCATTTTCTTCCGGTACGCTCCTGGCGCATCGGATCGTGCTTGATAGTAAACCCGCATGACGTCAATATTCATGGATTTTGTCCACTTCATACGTTTCCGTGCGGGGGGCATATTTTCTGTAGCAGAGGAGGGTCGACTGTCAACCCCGGCCCCTGGGACAGAGCTTTCACCAGTAGCCCTTACTCCCACTTCTGCCTGGTGAGGAACAGGAACGTGAGAGCCTCCGGACGCCGAGCCAGTAATATATATATATATATTACTGGCTCGGCCGTCGCCCAGGATAAAAAGGGCCGCGCTGGCTGCAGGTCTCCCGGTGCAGTCAGTGAAAAGTTGGCGTCGCCTATAGTATGCCCGAAAACCAAATATACTGGGAGGAAAGGTAAATATAAAGCGGAATCGTTGATGGAGCACGAAGAATTGAAGAAACGTTCCAAAGTTTTGAGAGGGCAAAAACGGAAGGAGTCTTGCTGCGGTCCAGAGCTAAATGGGTCCAAGACAGAGAAAGATCAACAAAATATTTCTACAATCTGGAAGTGAGGAATAAGAGAGTAAATCGTTGGGGAAACTATAAAAAACCCAGGAAAGTAAGTTTTCATTGACGACAAATAAATTCAAGAAGAAATGGGTGACGACTATGCGCCTCTCTACAACCGCAAGTCATCCGCGCGCGAGCTTCGCCTTCGAAACTTCATGCACCAAATGCCGACTCTTGAACTCTGGACGAAGATGTGCAGATGCTCGACGAAGGAATGACACTTGACGAAGCCAGTGAGGCTCTGAAGAATATAGAAAACGGAAAAAGTCTCGGTCATGACGGATTTTCCACAGAATTTCCTAGAGTTCTTCTGAGGCTTAATTGATTTTTTGCGCAATGAAAATGGGAAAATGATGGACAGGGTGGAGTTATCGAGGTGCAAAAGTTTCGCGGAAATTTTATTTCGCCTTACCACCCTTGTAATAACGACTTCATTGAATCAAGCATGCCTTCATCTTAAAGAACTACTTAAGACGAAGAAAATGGTGCAAGTTTCAGCATTTTCGGTCGAGAGGTTGAGGAGATAATGCCTTTCGAAGAAGAGTGGATGACCTTTGGACCAGCCGTGACCTTTGGACTCTACAGGGTGGCCCAAAAGTAGGTATACATTTATTTAGTTTTTTTTTAATATTTATTTTATTTTTCTTTACAGATATTGTGAATGATGGCAGCGAACTTGAGTCAAGAACAAAGAAAGTGGATTCTAAAGCAGTACCGGAAGACTGAAAATGTTAAAAAAAATGTAAATGTAATAAACAATGTAATAAAATGCAAATAAACTATAATGTATACCTACTTTTGGGCCACCCTGTTCTTTCTGGCCATGCGGTGCATCTGAGGGGCAGCAGGGACTTTCTTGGGGCCCTTTACAACTATTACAGGAAGGAATTTCCGTGCAGGGGGTCCACTTTTGGTGTTCCTGTTACCTTAATCCCCTCGGCGTTTGACCCAAAGTATGGCGAGCAGAGGAACAATGTTGTTGCCAATTTCTCCGGAAATGCGTTTCATGGCGAAGGGAGTAGTGGAGGAAGAAAGAGAGTTGGTGATGAGTGTAGGAGGTGCAAATGCATCAATTTTGTAAGTTTGGTGAAGCTGGAATGGCTGCGCCACGATCAACAAATGCCGATTGGTTGGACTAAACACAAGTCGCAAAACTGGTCCAATGGCACATGCACCTTTCAGAGTCCATTGCTCCACGAATACACACTCGTTCAAAACACAAGACAATCCTCCCTCCAAACATGATTTGAATTGATTGGATATTCATGAAATTATTAGAGTACAACAACACCAAAACCAACAACATTGGACTAGTTTTGGTGGTCACTGTGGGTCAATATTGATGCCAATCTTGGTCCGATTGAGGGAACATCTCGCAATTTCTGTTGGGTCACTGTTATTGGGATACTGGGGTAGTTGCTCGCTGCTTAGTAGTCTTACTGGAATGAGAAAGAAACACCTATACTCCGCTCGACCAAAAAAAAAGTCAAATTATGAACACGTCTTCAGATGAAACATGATACAAGATATCGGCCTGTAAATTTAAAGGGAGTCACATTGAACATATTTAGGTGATTTCACGAAAAATCCAACGAAATCGGTGCTTAAGAACCCGACTCCCAGCTTTTTTTCTTCTGCGTGCTGCGAGAGAGTAGCTCGTAAGCGAGTGAGGGGAGGGAGGCTGTTTACTCCGAGGAACGATCGGATTCGCCATAGCCCAGTCTGGCCAAGCATGTAGACTAACACACTGGTTCATTTGACATTGTCCGGGAAAATGGCTTTCACATGCGTCCTGGACAATCAATTTTATTTTCATCTGGAAAATGCTTTGATGTGTCAGATCCCATTCGTCTCAATAACGTTTTCAACATTGATAGTAGGTTGAAATGTTTAGGCATGGTTAAAGTTTACAAATCGAAGAAGAATGAACAACAGTGAAATTTCGACCTTTCATAATTAACAGCATACTGAAAGCATATACAGGGTACCCTAAAAAAAAAAAACCTTTACCATTTTAAAGCTCTGTATTTTTTATTTTCATAAATATACGAATGAAAGTTACAATATATTTCGGCTAAGTATTGAAATTTATTTGATCTTTTTTTTGCAGATTGAA